GCGGGCTTTGCTCCTCCGTGCCGACCTCGCAGAGCCTGCCCGCCGCTCCTGTTTACTTGTTTGGATTGATTATTTTCGGGGGCGAAGACAGGAAGAGAGCGGTGGGTGTAGCTGTACAGGTCTTGCTGGATTTCTTTAGTCATCTTTCTTGGAGAGTTTCGGGGTTTGTCGTCGTCTAGGCTCTTTCATGCGAGTAATCCTGACAGTGTTCACTAGGGCTTCGTAGAAAGAGTTGGATGGATGGGGGAAGGAGTGATACTTAGCTGTGGTGCAGATCTGATCATAGCGGCGTTTGAGTAGAAGCCTCTGCTAATGGGCCCGAAGGACAGGGACTCTGTCCCTCTGCATTATTTGGAAATCATTTATCCTGTTCCTTTATGCCTGAAAAAGGCTTTCGATGTTTGTGGTGGTGATGGTTTCACTGCAGTGTGTTGCCAAGTTGGTGATGCTGCTATTGCAAATCCTATCTAGAAACGAAGTTCCCGTTTATTTATTTGCTTGTGTGTGGTAGGATAACTGCAGCTTGTGTCTGCACGGTTCAGAAAATGATGCAGCGAATTAACCAGCAGCTGTATCAAGAGGAGTAAAAGCTGATTGGAATATCAATAGTCATTTTTATCTTTGCGGTGCACTCATGGCCTAACTTGACATCGATGAGCTTGTTTGGGGACTCTCCTTGGTTTTTTGTGTATTGCAGGCATTTCTGCTACTTTCAGGAGTTGGTCATGAAGAATGTGGAGAAGAGCAGAGCTGTTGCCAGTTAGACTTTATTCAGTTGTGAAATGCAGAAAGTTGTGGGATATGCCTGCAACTTCAGTGAAGTACAAGGAGTATATCAGAAGCTTGCTGTGCATTTATGAGGTCATGAAACACCTCTTTAAACTAAAGCCTTAGAAATGGAAAAGTTGGCATTTGTATGGCTTAGGATGCGAGCATTTAGAGTGGAAGTAAGAGTAGGTGACACTTGTATTATGTTTTCAGTTCTGATTAATTGCAGCCTGAGAAGTTTTAATGGAGTTATTGCTTGGTCAATTACCAACTTAGTCTTGGCTAACCAAAAAAGCTAAATGTGCCAATAGCTCCATATTAAAAAAGAATCCCATGGTTGAGGGGATTTGACTTTGTTCATTGAAGTATTTTTTTGTTTGGTCAATTCTGGGGCTGCCTTTTCTATTTGAGGGAAGTAGAGGATGAGAGATTGATTCTGTCAAGCTCAAGTTGATTTTTTTTTTCTTTACTGAGCTGAGAGAGGTTGCACTGTCATGTTGGGTCTGTTGGATTGAAATTGAAGTGATTCTCAGAAAAGCAAGTCAAGTAGTTTATAATAGTTCTGATGATAAGTCTGGCTTTGTTGTCAAACTTGCTAGGAACATCTCAGATTTTAATAGTTTAATGTCTTTGTTAGAGCTGAAAATAAGATTACTCAGGGAATGAAGTCGATGAGAAAATGAAATGCTGAGTTGATACAGTCTTTATACAGAAGAAATGTAAGATTCAAATTAAGTTTTAGAAAGTCTGACTGTCTCTTGATGCTTGAAGATGAATGAGTAATTATGACTATAAAATCTTTTGTGACTGGTTTGTGTAAGGCAGGTGATTTTCTCAGTCTATGATTAAATTGCTTTGTAGTTCCTTTTTAAATTGTGTTTAACATTGAATCCTCTTCTCTAACACATAGTCTTGATTCTGTTTGTTTTTGGTATCTTGCTTGGCCCATTGTTACTGCGCTGCTCTGACTTGTCAGACTGTACGCCACGGTTTCCCCTACCAACCTTCAGCCTTGGCATTTGATCCGGTTCAGAAAATACTGGCCATTGGGACTCAGACTGGAGCACTAAGGCTGTATCCTTTTGTGTTCTGAAGTGGATTTAGTGCACCTCACACAGGTGATGTCTTGATTCAGCTGCTGGAGCCATTCAGAAGTCTGGTGGGAGCCAGGTATGCAGGAGGGGAGTAAAGCAGCAAGCTCTCTCTGCTGTTGGTGGGTGGCTTGGTTGTTCTTTGTGTCAGTTTAAGTTGTGTAAATCATGTGAGGTACGGCTGCTCAGTTGCCATTATCTCAAGGTAATAGATAAATTTTGTAGAGGGTTACTAGGGTGCTGACAATTTACAGCAGCTGACTGCAAATCTAAAGAGAGACGTGGGCTGAGCTCTGTTGTGTTGTTCTGCTCTATCCTCTGGGGTTGAAACATTCTGTGCTGCTTGGTGAGGTGATGTTTGTTTGGTTGGGGTTTTTTTGTAGGGTTTTTGGTTGGGCTTTTTTTGGGTGGTGGGCTTGTTCTTAAGATAAACCTTGTCATGCTCTAGTGACCTGCTACTACTGTGTTGCCAAATGAGGGTTTCAAGTGGGGGCAGTAAAAGGTGCAGCGATTGTATCTTGCTAAAGGCTTCCAAGTGACAGGGAGAAGCGGAATGAATTTGTGAAGTAAAGCACTAGCAACCCTGCTTCTTTTTGTTCACTAAAAAGTGAACTACCCATATGTTTATAGCCATATGGTACCACAGCCATATGCTACTATCCAAGCCATGTAACAACATATGTGTTTAAACTTTTACTTTTAAGAGAAGTGTCCTGTACAGTCTTTAATCCACGCTTCTGTTGTCAGAACCTTTACTTGTCAGTGTACGAGAATGAATGGAATTCTTTGTTGTCCTGAAATGGACTCATTTGTAATCATTATGGGCAAGGCTTAGGCTATCTTGCTAGAGAAATTGACTTAGTCCTCTTTAAATTGTAGGTAAATCTAACAATTTCCTTTGGTGTTTATATTAGTCTCCAAGTAGACCTTTTTTGTTTCCTTCTGGTATATCACTACCCTGTCTATAAGGTTAATTGCCATAAGGGGGTTGGTTTTTAAAAGCTGAAAAACTAGAGCTGAAAAACTAGATTTCTATTATGAACTCTCCAGATTTCTTAACTCAAGAGCATGAGGAATAGGGATAATAATGCAATGTTCTTAATGCTATATTTGAAACTGCACTTAATTTAATAAATTTTCTTTTTTAAGAGGTTGTAAAATTGACTTAAATGAAGAGTGAACTGTGTGTGGGTGGTATTAATTACTCTCATATTGGTAGAATAGATGAGAAAGCAAAAAGAGATATAGAAGTTAGAAGTTGGTTTGGAGGCAAAGAAGAGATCAAAATATACCTGTTTAGAGCTTACTCACCTGTAATTTTGGGCAACATGATGTTGCAGTTTGGGTAATGATGACTCAACAAAACCTGTTTCTGGGCACTCATCCATGGCTACACACACCTGTGAATTCTTGGAGTAGGAATTGCTTTCTAAATAATTGAGAGAGGTATTGCAATATTGTCTGGGGAGAACGCGTTACTGTGAGAAAATGACAGAAAATGTGTTTTCTAAAGGAGGGGAAGAAGTTTCATGCAGAGGCTGAAATGTTAGTGCTCCTCTAACTTGATGAAGATAAATATGCTTCTTAGTACTTTGGTACAGCTCTTGGTTCTTGGAAGAGCTGGTTAAAAGCCCTCAGCTGGCAGAGTTGCCCTGTAACCAGACAGCACTGCAGGATTTGCATCTCCTGTGATTACCTCCTCTTTGTGATGGAGGAATGCAGGCAGAAGGAATAGACTCAGACATATTCCCAATGTAAAAGCAGCCTCTTGCTTTCTGCTGGTTTGAGAAGAATGGGTCAGAGTGAGGCTTGCAAGAGGTGCTTATTTCATTCTATTGCTCAAAGATAGAGCCAACCCTCAGGATGCTTTGCTGCTAAGGTTTTTATGAATAATAAATTATGTGCAAGGGTTCATTAAAATGGGATCCACTTACTCTTTAAAGCTGCAAAAGTGGTTTTAATTGAAATGAGGTGTGGACTAGAAAGACTGAGAGTCAGTAAAATGTTATTCATTGAAAAATCATGAAAGTACAATAGAAGACAGTCCTAATTTTCTTTTTTGTTCATGTTGTGAGAGTATAGAAGTAAAGGAATGATAATGTCTCTTTCATTGCCTACCAGCAAATGGGAGGTGGGTATTAGTGGTTTCCTTGTGTCTTCAAGTATAGGTACATCTTTTAATGCTTTATTTTGCAAGTAGTCTGAGGAACGGGAAACAAGTTTGGGGTTTTTTTTGGAAAGGGTATTAAAAGCAAAATATTCTTAAATCATGGAGAAAGAACCTGTTTGAGATTCCATTAATATGTGAGGAAAATAATGTTACAGTCCTGATTAGGCTCTGGACTATTTATCAGACTCTTTCCAGAGGTTCTCTCTGTATTTGATCAATCTTGAAATTGGGTATTTTTAATTCCAAACCAGTATTGTTCAGAACAGGTTAATGTGAGGGGTTTTCTAAATCACACTTTTATTCTTCTTTATGAGGCCTCTGTAACCACTACTGGAGGAACAGAGTGACTTCTTATACACAAGTGCTAAATGTTTGCAGTACTGTTAAAATTATTTGTAAAAATAGAACTGAAGCTTTTTCTGAAGAATCAAAATCTGTAGTTACAAGTATGCTGCCAGTTAAATGACGTTGTCTTTCTTTATGGATAAATATACTAGATATCTTTCTTAATGGATAAATATACTGAACATCAACACTGTATTGAATTCTCTAAATCCACAAATTGTAAAAATGAAAGTGCCTGAATTATGAGTGTCATGTTGCACTAATGGGATTTGAAGTAGAATTGCTACTCTGTTAATATTTTTTGCCTCTAGGCTGGATGGGTGTAGTTGGTAACATAGTATGCCAGAGGGGCAACTTTGCCATTCTACGCCCCTAAGCAGCAGTTGGTTGTAGATCCTGCAATTTCAAGTCCATAAAATACTACGAAGAGACTTCATTTAAAATGTAAAACTTTAACCTTATGAGTCATGAAAGTTAGTTTGGGATTATTCACGGATATAACTTGAGCAGTATATCCCTTGCATTCATTTTAAAAAACTTGATTAGTTACTAAGAAACATTTCTAATTCTTGTTTAGCTAGGAGATTTAAAACCAAGATGTTTGGAGGCAGACAGATCCTTAATTAGAGAAGTTTTTCCCCACCCCAAAAAGAACAGTTTTAGCTATTAATAACAAAAGTTCTGTTCTGTTCTGTTCTCAACCTATGAACATCAGCCTGGTTACTTTACTGTGTATAAGGCAAAGTTACAAAGTGAGTAGCTTGGTAGAGCAGAAACCTTGAGCAGCCTGATGTGACCCTCTTCCTGCCACTAGGATCTGTTAAAAACAGTTAAGCTGTTGGACTCTGTTTTTGCTGTTGCAAAGGAAATTGAGGGATGAGGTAGACACGTGGGCAGAAGCACTGTGCTGAGTGACGTGAAATCTCAAATGGTTCCTCACGAGTAGCGGCACTCACCTGGACATGCTGGTCCAGTTGTTCCTCTGAGTTTGTGGTGTGGCTGGAGGATGCTTGTTCCAGCTATTTGAGGTGTGTGAGTCTTGGCTGGCGGCCTGCTTCCTGTGTGGCAATTCTGCCTCAGGCTCCCTCTCATCTGTGCTGGATTTTTTGGATGTGATCCCCACAGGGAACACTTGTGCTCACTATTGATTTCAACTGCTATGGTCAGTGCAAGCTGCTGGTGGCCTCTGTTGTCACTGCAGGTCAGCATCTTTGGTTTTCTCCATACTTGGAGGCATTTAGCTGCTGTTACCAGGGTGGCTCTCACCTCTTGATCCACTATCATGTCATGTGAGATATCAAGTAGCTAAAAATTTGTCTGTGCTTTGCTTCTTTTCTGTGCATACCTGAACCGTTACAGTATGACATACAATCCTTGTCTTAAGAAAGTTTTGTGCATAATTGGCTGTGCTCTGTTTTCCCTGCAGGTATCAAAACCTTCTAATGAGCTAGAGTTCAGTTTATCTGCTCAAGGTTTAACTTGGTGTAATCAGTTAGACTTTACCCTGTGACGTGCTGACAGTGCTCAGTGCCATAAGTAACAGCCCTGCTCCTGTGCTCTTCATTGCTTCTGCTCTTCTGTTCAGAAGGCCCTCTGCAAGCCTAATGTGATCTGAGCAGGGGGGTGTGTAAACTCTGAAGAGGCTAGAGGAAGATGTAATGAGCTTTTTCAGGATTTTTTTTTGCCTTTAAGATGGTGTTTCCTCAGAAGTTTTAAGTTCAGGGCCCTGTACAATTAATAATAATAGTCAGCTGAGCTTTTTTATTTTATAAGGTAGAATAATCTTTGAAGCTAAAGCAGAAATATTGAATGAATTCTCCTGATCCCTGCTGTTAAACTGCTCCATCTTAAGCAAGTTTCTTCATTTTTCTGCACTTAATTTTTTCTATAGCAAAACCAGGACAGTATATTAAATTAGATGTTTTGTGATAATCTTCCAACAAAAATACAATATCTGCTGGTGTTTTGTGCCTTAAAAATATGCATTTATAGCATAAAGTTCAGCCTCTTGATAGAATGAGTTCTAGAAAGGAAGACCATTTTCACTAGAAATAATTGAAAATGAAGGGAATACCTGTAAGAGTAATTGTTGTACCTTCCACACACTCTAAATTGTGCTTCTGACTCTTTATGCCCAAGCAGAATAGGTTATTTAATTAAAGTTTGGCTTTTTTTTTTTCCTTCTTGCAAACCAAGTTCACAGGAAGGAGAAAAAATAGATTATTCATCATTCCATCATTAAAAACCTGAAGATTCCAATTGTCCTGAATATCAGTATCTGTTAATTTCCCCACGGTGTTTTCAGCACTAAAAGATGAGTTATACAAGCAAATGGCTGAAGTTTTTATGTGTTTGGGGTGTATAAAGCTTGTTTTCTGTGATTTCCATTCTCCAGCCTTTTTGAGAACTCACTTTTTTTTTTTTTTTTTTTTTTTAATCAAAATAGCTCAAAGCCCTGGACATGTGGT